GGGGGGGGGGGGGGGGCTGTGTTGTTTTCATTTCCCTTAAAGAAACGATGAACTGAACATTGCTTTGTGCGTGATTATAGTCGACGACCACCACACGACCGAAGACACATTCCTCGCCGTTGGATCGGCATTCACCGAGGCTCTGGGCGCGCGACAGTCGCTGGCGCGGTTCGGGCGCGGGGACGCGCCGCTGGACGAGGCTCTGTCGTGGGCGGTGATCGATCTGTCCAGCCGGCCGTGGGCGGTCATCAACCTGGGATTCCGTCGGGAGAAGATCGGGGATCTGAGCACGGAGATGATCACCCACGGCCTGCAGAGTTTCGCCCAGGCGGCCGGCGTGACGCTGCACGTGGGCTGCACCTATGGCGACAACGACCACCACCGGGCGGAGAGTGCGTTCAAGGCGCTGGCCGTGGCGATTCGGGCGGCGTGCACGAGACGGGTTGCAGGCGAGGTCGGCGCGGGCGATGTTGTGAGTACCAAGGGAGTTTTGTAGATTGCAAGAGGGTTAAATTGCGATTCGTTTTAAAAAAATGATAGACAAAGTCATACCGTGTCATATTGTTGTTACACCCAGGAGTTATCACCTTCTAATGCTATCCCTCCCGCACCCACCAACCCATTCTATCTCATCAACCTGATAAACTCTCAAAGATATCGGAACAACACCACCCCCAAATCCCCCTCCCCAAAGAGGACACCACCACCCCCTCAAACCCCCAGAGCCTCAACAGCCCGACTCCAATAAGCCTTCCGATCATCATTCGCAGCCGTCCCAACGCAGCCGGTAATGAAAGCCTCCCAGCCCGCCTGGGTCCCCTGCTGCAACTGGCCGCGCACACTGGCAGTACACTGCGTGGTCAGGAACCACGCCCCGGAGCCAAAGTCATACTCCGGGACCGCGCGCAACAGATCCAACGTCCCCGCCGGGTCCCCGTTGACGGCCTTCAGCGAGTCGGCGAGGGCGGGGATCGACGCCGCGTATTTGGCATTGAAGGCGGGGGACTGCATGTTCCGAGCTATATGGACCGGACAATCCGTCAACATATCATCCTTATTCTTCACTCTCAACAAGAAAACCATGCGAAAGGGATAAAGGAAGAGAAGAAACACAATATATGGGAGAGAGGAAAGTAGACTGAGAAAACTACCCCCAAAAGGTGTAAGCACTTACTGCCCTGGCCCGCAACACCCGGGAAATGATTCTTGTTGTACTTGAAATCCCCACTTTCGAAGGCCATCAAGCCGATCACTGCCGCCTGCTCGGCTTTATTGGTCACCCCGTAGGTTTGGAAGGATTTAGAGATGCTGGAGGCGGCGGTGTCGGAGGTGGCACACTCGCCGGCGGCCGGGGCGTTGGCGCAGGTGTTGGAGGTGGGGGCGATGGTTTGGATCTGCTCGCTGGTGATTTGCGTCGAATCCCGGGTACACAGCTGTCCCTGGCCCGTGGGGGCGGCGTGAATTAAGAGAGGGGAGAGGAGAAGGATGCTGGTGAGGGAAAAGGTCTTCATCGTGGATGGTTTGTATGTAAGTATGTATGTAGCTTAAAAGCAACCAAGAAAGTAGGGTTAGGGTAATGGGTAAGGTAGTAAGTAGTAGTAAGTTATACAACGGAACTCCAAGTCACTGAATGAATCTATCGATAGAGAATTCAATTCCCAACAGACAAACAGGAAAATCAAGGGGCTTAAGAATCTCTCAGAAATCTGCCTATGTCACCTCCCTCGAGCGCCCAGAGTATGCCTGGCCATGATTGACATTCCTTCAGGATGAAGACCCCTCAGAAATATGTGGAGCAGACCCTCGTACTCTGTCAATCTTCCCCGCCAACCACGCCCTGAAGATCCCTTCAGCCCAACACCCTGTGCGGCTGTGTGTCATCCTTCAACTCCAACTCCCACATTGCGCCTCATGATTGGAGTCGACCCTGAGGCGAAGTGAAATCAAGTGGGATCAAGTGGGATCAAGTGGGAACCTTCCTCCGTCTATAAATTGTTTTCAGTCGGCAGTGCGCTTATTCCGCCCTGCGCCACGCTTATTGGTCCATGCTGAATGGCCAAGTGTTTCACCGGTCCGTGACTGATCTCAACCCTCGTATACCCAACTGTGTAGGTAACTGATTCACTCTTAACTACCGCACATATAACCTCTATGTTGACGCGGACAGTGCTAAAATATGCTGATCGTCATAGTAGGATGGCAAGCCACCACAGGATTTCATTCAGCGGTCCCAGCAGCACCAGGCATCTGTGACTGGAATTTCAAACAACTCTCTACCCAAAATCAATCGCAAGTCTATGGGTGGGGTAGGAAAGAGTAAAAGGTGTGAAAGGGTAAGCAGACAGTGAAGAATCGAAGGCAAAAAAAAAATAAAAGTGTAAGACATCCAAGAAAGAAAGCCAGATACGACACACGTGCGCTGCCTTGCAGAACGCCCGCGCATAGATCAAAGTATCTTGCCAAAACATGTACAAGGAACCCTATGCTTGGAAAGCATCTCGGTCAAAACCCATGTCCCCCTCCCGAACTCCGTACATGCACTTCAGAAACTGGACGAAATTTCCCGACGAAATCAGGAGACATTAAAATGGTAGAGGAAAAGTAGGATGTCATCAAGTCCCAACGCGAAAAGACTGTAAAGGTACGCGTTGTAAGTCGAAACGCTTAATCACGACGACTGTAAAGTTCATAGGAAGTTTCCGTAACACCGGTCGCTTCTTCATCTTCCTTGAAGCTGACCCGGCGAAGCAGAGTGGGCATCATCCGACGCGACATTCTTGTCGGGGAAGGTAACCGAGATCCCGTCACGAAAGAAGGAATCTTTGCATAACGGTAGCGGTACTTCGAACCAAGCACCATAACCCGAACATAGAGCCACCAGAGGGAGAATCCGACCACGGCAGCCAGAATGAATCCGAGAACGGTGAGGAACATCCAGTGCTGGCCCATCCAGAAGATCAGACGGGCGTCTTTGCCATGCCAGCTGTTCCCCACGTGGTGAGTGAAGAAACTCCACGAGTGCTTGTTGTACTCGTCCTTCATCAAGATGCGCACACGTGCCGATTCGCTCGGAAGGGTTTGCATGTATTCCTTCCAGATCACCGAGAGGAAGAGTGGGCCGGTGGAGTACATCACGGTGATATACGGCAGAAGCCAATGGCGGTCATAAGACTGCAATAGCTCGATCACGCGCAAGAAAAAGGGATGCTGTGGAACAGAGCCCATCGCGTCATTGGAGATACCGGTGGGAACAGTACGGCGCACCCAAGCAGGGTAGGCGAGAAGAGGATCTAGGCGACGGTTGCATCCCTGCGGATCGGTCAATATCATGGTCATCAGCGAGAGAAAAGGGGTACGCACGTCGTCAAGGTCAATGTAGGTGCCACCGTAGTGGGCCAGAACAAAGTATCTAATCGAATCTGCCCGCTGAATCGGGTACTTGTAGCCATCGAACGTCTCGAGAAACCAGGGATATTCGTTGGCGATGAACTCGCGCGACTTCTCGTTCGTCCACAGCTGTTTCAGGCAAGCTTGTGTTAGTCTCAGATATAAATCTTTGTCAATGGCAAGTGGCATACAATGTACTCGTAGTCAGGGTGCAAGTCAATGCAGCTCTGCTGAGCTTCTCTCCACACCTCGGGGATCGTCTCGTTTTTGTAGGTCTGGTGGATGATTTTGGGGATGATTTGCGGCCGCTGTTCGATTAAACTGGAATTCGGCGAGGGGAGCTCGGCACGATGAATGGCGTCGGCGGAAGCATCTTCCACGAGCAGCGACAGAAGCGTGAACACACTGCGCACCAGAAAGGTGACTATGAGGAGGTTGACGAGGAGGAAAATCAAGACACCGCGCCGCATGATGAAAGACGGAGTAGGAGGTCTGAAGGACGCCTCCTGTTAAGGTAAACTGGAACAATTGCCGGAATTGAGAAGCGCTGCAAGGATGCAGAATTCAATTGATGCGAGTCTAGTGTGTCGTAGCGTCGTCGTGTTGACCGCAGCGGGAAGGAACGAAAGGGCCGCGAGAACGATATACCCAAACTACAACACTTCCAGATTTCCCCGCAGTATAAACACAGCGGCGAGAAAGCAATGCAGGGTGGACGATAGACGAAAAACCTTATTGTCCTTAAAGACCAGACAACATGGGACGTCGAGAGTCAGGTCGAGAAATTGCGATGCAATGCAATGGCAATGGAGAAGAGAAGAAAACGTTGAGGTTGAAGGGAGGTCGAATTAAGGAATGACGGCCGTGAGACTTCCTGGTAACGTTTCCCCCTTTTCCTTTTTGAGTTACCCTGAATGGAGACCGGTCTGATGGTCTAAAGGATCAAAGCTCGCACAGGAACTAAACAAGGCAAGGACTGGCGTCGTGGTAGTAGTAGTGGTGGTGGTAGTAGTAGTAATAATGAAGAAAGGAAAGGGAATGGAGCAGTGACCACGGGGAAGGCAGGTGGTGATAGATAAAGTGGTGATTATTATGAGGTTCCCGTAGTGAACCAAGCCCCCAGTCAAGACGCTGGGATTGGGAAGCGTGGGGGGTGGATAAATTTATTTGGGGAAAAAAGACGAAAAGAGGAGGCGCGAAAGAGAATTAATTGAATAGGTATGGAGAGAGGGGATCGATTTAACCAGGTGGACAAATAATAGGAAAGAAGTGCGTAATTTACTGGTCCATCGACTGGGACAAAAAGAAGGACTATGTGATAGGCAGAGAGTAAAAAGAAAGCTAGGCGAGCCAAAGGAACGAACGGTGCCTTAGCAACAAAGCAGTAAGAAATAATATTTAAGGTAGAGAGTGTGGCGGAAAAAAACGACAATGGATTGACTAGTTAAAGAGAGAAGGGAATCCTTTTGGGGGGGGGAGGTTGTTGAGGAGAAGACGGAGAAAGCGAGCGGAAGAGAGAGAGACACCGCGCGAAGCGTCAACAACGGCCCATGGTTTTACTGGGTCTTACTGGAGAAGGGGGGGGGGGGGGGGCGCATCCGTCACCCAAACCAGGGGATGAAATGGGTGTGTGAAAGGGGAGGAAGAGGGGAGATGGAAGGGAAGGGAGGGGGCTAACAGCGGGGGAAAGGAAGAAAGAGAGAGAGAGAGAGAGACTGGGAGACTGAGAGAAGTGGAAAGTGGATCCTGGACCCATCATGAATCCTTTTTTCCTTTTTCCACCGCCTGTTGTTTGGAGAAAGGTTTGCGTTGCTGCCAGTGCTAAGCCTCCGCCACTAGATCATTTTTAGTGAAGTCGGTCTCCTACTCTACTAGATTGGGACTAGACTTGAGAGGCAACTTTAGTCTGTGGTACTAGTACTAGACGGTACTTAGGCTAGGAACCGTACTCGTTTAGTGGGAAGTTAGTTGTCTAGTGGTTCCTCTTCTCCTCTGTTTGGGTCCTCGGGGCAATGCTGAATCCCGTCTGCTGTGCTGCTGCTTCGCTGCTTGGGCTGCTTGCACGGAGTACATACATCATCGCCTACTCCGTACATTATTGCACTGCCTACAGACATTACGGTTGTCCATCAAGTGTCAACTCCACCGATAACCAACCACTGGCAGTCAGGCCCATTCCTCGAGGCGAACAAGATGCGTTGCCACTTGGCAGGTGGCTGTACGGGGCCTCGAAGAAACTCGCTCATTCTTATCTCCCACCGCCTCAAGGCTCAAGAGTCAACACGTTGAATAACGTTCGAGAGTTTAGTCGAGTGCGCTAATCATTTCCAGCCTCGCTGTGGTGGGAAAGCATGGTGCCAGATATCCACTCTTTGATTGGTGCCGCGGAAATAGGCCCCAAAAGCACAGCCATCACGGCTCGGCCAAATGATATCCCACCGCGGCGTTGGCAACCACCCGAGGGAGGGAGAGGGGGGAGAACTTCAATTCTGGTACGGTAGACGATTACATGAGTAGTAAGGTCAATAACAATTGAGATTGCATCCAGAGTTTTAGTTAGGTAGTAGAGCCTTGTGAAATCATGATTGACACTAGGAGGTGATATTAGCGGGACAATCATGGCATCCCCTGCCGGGCGTCGATTGTTGAATTCTTATTGGGGAGGGAGTCCAATGATCTGATCATGTCTATACGTAGCCTTGTACATGCAAGTCGGAGAATTTAGGTGGGCAATAGTGAGTACAGATTGAGAAAGCCCTAACCTACTAGTCTATTTATGAATCGATCTCGATTCTGATCATTACTATTGCGACCGCATTCGAGTGTTTGTGTCAATAGTGCGGAGAACTTCGTAGTTAGGTGTTTGACAGTCAAGCGAATTTCCCGCTGACTAAGACCGTGGTCTTAAGTTAACTTACTACCTACTGTCTTAACTTCTCAATCCCTGACGAAGTTCCTTACTTGGCAGATTTCAGCTCAAAAACTGCGTGTGTCAGGTCAGCATGCGGGATGCAGTTGATCTCGGGTCTCTCAATGCTCATTGCCCCGGAGCATGCTTCCAAGGATCTAAGTTTGGAACGGAGGTAAAACACCCCAATGCCCGGCTTGCGCATGCAGGTCTGCTGCATAAAGAAGCCGACAGATAGAACCAATTTACCTTTCCAATGCCATTGGCCGGTGGCTCATACTGTATTCATGCAAGTTTACACCGTAGGCGACCTCACTTCCTACGACCTCTATCAGTGTGCGTGCGACAAGCACCTTGTGACAAGCACCTTGTGACAACAAGATCCTCGACATGGAAGACAGTGCACTAGCACGGATCCTACCACATGGTGACATTATCGCGAAAGAGTGAGAGGAATCGAAGATAAGAAGCGGGGCATAAACAACAACATGAACAACAACAGGACCCCTCTAGGCAGAAGAAAAACCAGGCCAGCCAGTTCCAAGGTCGACGACGGTTGCTTGCCACACAGTACGTGGTAGAATAGGTTCCAGGATTCCCAGCCACAACGAGTGTGTGGCACTACATCATCATCGTCTCTGTGCACGACCGTTCATCACAGGCTGAGCCTCGTTGAGTATTCCAAGGCCAGCCAACAACCGAACCAAACTCCGTCGGAACGGGTATGCATTTACGAGTACGATTCCCGGCGACCGGGCGACTTTCCCGCCGACTCGCCGACCGACTCTCTGGATTCTGGAATGGGTGAGACCTCGACTAGTGAACTGCTTCCTCCGGGCTCCACAAACCTGTGAGTGAGATTTGACAGATGGAGATTTGGGATATCAATTCGAGAGATTATTAGTCTAGCCGAGCCGAGTCGAGTCGAGTCGGATGAGCATCAAAGCTACCGAGTACAATAGAACAGGAGGATGTATGTATCCGTGTGAGCAGCTGACCCTCCATTCGACCTCTCGAAGATAGTGACACCTGATTGTTTTGCCACTAGAGGGGGACAAATTTACTCGTGAAGAGCAAAAAAAAAAAAAAAAGAAGAAGAAAAGAAGAAAAGAAAAAAAAATTTATCCCCAGATTTGAACCAACCTCGGCTCTCCTGCTACGTAGACAAAACCATTTCTAAACACCGAGAAAACCAAAAGGAATCGCCCGGTCGGTCCACTCTTCCTCCAATGGCTACCCCGTCGACCCACGGCTTGTCAAGGTTCCATGCTTTAAGTCAGATCCTTTCGTCCTACTCGCCGATTAGACTGTCAGACGCGTGGACAAGCAGATGGTGCCGTGGTGGATGTTGAGCTAGACCAGCTATCAGTCTACCGGGGGGGGCGCTGTTTCACCTTTTCCTTCCAACTTCCAAGGACAATTTCTCCGGTCGCTCGTCGCCGGGCGGTGGATTTCTGCCGACCGCATTTGTGTCCCAGACTGTACCTTCGTACTCGTACACTGCCTTGAGCAGCAACAATGCCAAGGTGTTGAGTACAGAAATACTGTACACATGGACAACGATCCAAACCTCGCCCCCGATATTCAAAATCTTGGCTTCATATGCAACAGAAATGAAACATCCCCCTTAACTTGGTCTCTTTTGTGGGCGACGGATAGATACTCCCGGCGTACACCGAAGTTCCCCTCCCTGGACCCTGCCCCCTTGCGTTCCGTTGCACCTCAATTCAAGAAGCAGCGACGATCAATTCTCCTACTGTACGAGTAGATTCGGGACCTCGCACATCGCAGTTTAATCTCACGATAATCCTCCTTCCTAATGTACTGCATTTACTAACTCCGTACATGATTACTCAATTCTTACCTCTGGATAATCAATTTCTCTGCCTGAGGCAGGAAAAGGGACTTTCTACATTTGTTCATTACGTCGTCGGTCTCTCCCAACAACCCCGCATCCCGTGTCTGGCCACAAAGTGACAATAGCATCATCTTCACCCACCCCACCTGCATGGTTAATTTTCTCCCCCGGTTGTCGCCGTGGGAAACCCGGACGCCGCTCATGAAATTTGGATCCATGCTATACCGTAGGGATGGACCAGCCAATGCGAGGTGGTTGGTGATCAACAAGTCTAGCGAATGATGATCACTACGTGGGCCAAGGAAGAAGGTCCTGGCTACGCTGGGAACCCTGACCGATTTCTCGTGAAAGATCCATTGTGTAGAGACGGCCAGTGTGGTGGCACATGGATGGAGATGCGATAGGCGAGTGATCCAAGCGCAAGGCCAGAGTCGAATGACTTTATTACATCTAGTAACTTGCATAGTATGTCGTCGGCGGCGGTTAAGCCCACCACCGCTCCCCAATCATGCGGAGATTTTCTACCCCGGCATTGGGGATCTACAGTACACGTGGGCAGGCCAGCCAGCCGTTCAGTACCCTGCCATGCAGTCCAAGGCACATAGTTACTTAGTATCCGTTATCCTCCCCACCTTCTCATTTGCTGGGGGACCTATTTGAGTTCTCTTCTTTCCGAAACCATATCACAACGTGATCAATGTTTGCATTACAACAGGGGTATATCCAATGTAACTCGCTAAAGAGCTCAACGTGCAAAAGAAACAATGTCACAAAGTCCTCCGACAGATGCCTAGGTCACGCTTATCCACCGGACATCTTCGGCTCGAGACTTTCATTCCCCTTTAAAAGACCACATCTTTCGCTCGACCTAGCCAGCAAATGAGTTTGATGCTTGCGCCCACGTGCAACATATCGACAATGCGACAGGCTGCGTAGCACCTCCAGGTAGTCGAACAAGAAAGCGATAGTGGCGCAAATAGCCCTTGCACCGCATCACCATACCATATCAAATGACCTCCCGACGCATCTGAATGAGTGACCCAACATGCAGAGATGCTGCCATTATCGAAGGGTTGTTTGTATTCTGTACTTTCAAGTGCGCATGTCCCCTGCACATCGCGGTCTTCAATCGAGAAATTTTCTGGTTGGGAAGAGACTCGTGTGCTTCAGAGGTGATAGGGCCTCGGTCTGCAATTTTCCCAGCATGCATTCCACTTGCAAGTCTCAGCCTTCGACAACCGCTCATCGAGTTTCGGGTGCGGCGGCGGCAGTGGCAGCGAGACCACCATTCCCATCGCCAGTCGCGGGCTCAAACAGGCGTACCCACCAGGCCGGGGGATCGAAAGGCCGATGTCCACCATGCAGCGATGGGTAGACATCATTGAAGAAGTACCAGACATGTCCGACCACGACACCGCAGATTTCGTCCTTGGGCACAATCCCGTGGACGACCAGGCTGAACGCCATCAACACCCAGGGGAGATAGGGCGCCGAAAACACCAACATCCCGAGGAAGCTCAGACGAGTGTCCGGGTTGCGACGGCTCCAGATGTACACAAGACTCGATGAGAGGGCGCTTCCCAAGAAAGGCAGCGAGAGAAATGGCGAAAGCAAAAGAAGAGAGGCCATGGCGTAGAACAGCAGCCAAGAGAAATGAGCGGGCGACCGACCCGACGACTCTTCTAGAAGGCGCGAGTACCGCTGCAAGAAGAAGACATGGAAAAGTAGATCGAGGTTCAATGGTCCAAAGTAGAGGAAAGTGGTCAGTAAGCGCCAGTACTGCGCATCACGGTTAGCTTGAGTGTCGTCACTATCACTATCACTAAACGACAGGCAGCGGTCGCCTGCCTTTGCTTCGGACTGCGCGCAACATACCTGAGATTTTACATATACGGCGCGAAAGCTGTAGAATAGCTGAAAGGGAGTAAGGATATGGCACTGAACCAATACCGAAGTGACGACGGTGGCCGCTGTCCACCAGCGTGTCACGGGAGGCATTTCATAGAACCATTGTTCAAGCGGGAATTGGCCAGCCTGCCCGCCGTTACCCCAGATGGCGGCCATTGTGTTTTGGAGTGGAGTATGTTAGTATTGAAGGTGCAGATGCGGAATGGATGGAGCGAGATCGAGATGCTCTATCTCTTCTCTAAGTAATGTAGGGTAAGATAAGAGTGGCAATTGATTGGAGAAGAGATTGGCACGGGGAAGGGTTGGGAAGAGAAAGTAAAGGAATGGGATAGGATCGATGGTGATGTGATGTACGGAGTAGGCAACTTGACAACTGATAAGATTGGGAGCTGAGCTGAGCTGATAAGTTAAGGTACTCACTGGCGGAAAGACAGAGAAAGAGCTTCTAGCTAGCTGGCCTTTTTGCCTGAGGCCAGATAACAGCCACTTAGTAGGCTAGTGGCTTATTAACTACTTAGTAAGCTATGCAAACTCACACGCGCGCGCTTGAAGCCGAGACGGAACGCGGTCCCCCACGCGTCACTCATGGAAATAATGCAGGTGGCTGGGATCTCCAAATCCCACCTTCATCCGATTGCATGCACTTGACATCCGTACTTACAGTAACTTAACCACCATTTACCACTTTTCTGAGCCCTTTCATCCCCAACCCAAACTTAGAATTGCAACAAAAGACTGCAGAGTCTACCAAGCAAGGCTGTCCCGGCGGTTCGTGACGGACCAAAGCTAAAAAAAAAAAATTCAAAACAAACGGTGCAACAACAACAATAACAACAACATTCTTGGCTCTCGAGACTTGTCTCCCCTTCCACGTCTCTCTAATTGCACTCGCACAAGAAGACTCGATCCTACCCGGTGACTCACGGTCATACCCAAGTGGTTGACCATCTGCAAGCTGCAGCTTGTTCTTCACCCCCGAGTATACCGAATAAACACAGATTTCAACATGCCTCCTAAGACAGGGCGCGGTCGCAAGTCAATTGCTGGGCCACGGAAATCAACCGCCGCCGCCACTACTGCTGCTGCTACTGATGATGGTGCCGCCGCTGCTGCCGGCCCGTCAACTGCCCCAGCTGCGACGACCACACCCCCGGCCGCTCGCGGGCGTAAACCTGCGGGTGTCACCAAAGGCAAGCGACCGGCTAAAGCGCCCAGGACATCCAATGTTGAACGTATGTTTGCCCTCCTCCTCGACCGTCTCCAGAACCAAGCATCTGACAGGATCCTATAGCGGGCGATCCCACCCCCACAGGTCGTCGTCGCCGGTACAAACCTGGAACGGTTGCCCTGAAGGAGATCCGCCATTACCAACGCTCATTCGACCTGCTCATTCGAAAGCTGCCATTCGCGCGACTGGTCCGCGAGGTTGCCTTGGATCTTCTCCCCGCCGAAGTCGGCTCCGAGCTGCGCTGGCAATCGCATGCGATCTTGGCCCTCCAGGAAGCCGCCGAGGCGTTCCTGGTCCATCTTTTCGAGGACACCAATCTCTGTGCCATCCATGCCAAGCGCGTGACCATCATGCAGAAGGATATCCAGCTTGCTCGACGCATCCGGGGTGTCTGGGGTGGTCTGGGTTAGACGGATTTCTCCTTTTCCAACATGCTTGAGATAATAAGAAAAAAACAACATCCGATCTCATTTCATTAATGTCGTCTCTTGCTATTGCATATTCTATCTGACGGACAATGGTTGGTTAGAGCTTATAACCCGTTTTCAGGACCACCTGAGATCATCGGAACAGAATGAAGCAGCAGTCGAGCTAAAGGTAGCGGGCTCTCGTGGAACACATCAAAAGCGGAAACCGTCTTTATTTAATTCGAGATCTCGACCTCAAACTCGCCACTCCTCCAAAATTCACCCACTCAACCTTCGCATGCGGGATCTTCCCGGCTCGAAGATCTCACTTTGTCTCCTCAGATTCTACCTACCGTTCTCTTTGTTCCCGAGACTCGACTTGCATACCTTCTGTTCGATCAAAACTCTCAGGGGGTTCCGGATTATGTTGTTTTGCGTCATCACTTTTCCTTTCCTTACTCAGCTGGGTGTATAGGGCTTCTTGCGCGCAGGCGTACGGAGAAAATCCAAGGTGAACGGAGTTACAAATGTCAAATTTTCCCCCATCTATCTATTTATCGATCGATTTGATAATCCAAGTCAGCCATCGACCCGCGACGGCGACGATCTGGTATAGCGGGTGTGGTTTCTATGGTGTTTCCTTTTTTTTTTTTTTTGTATGTTGTCCCTCGTTTGTCTGTCGCGGCGGTGATCGGTGCCTCCTTTTCTGGCTAGCTGTCAGGCAGCTCTAGACGGCCTGATGATCTATGCATTACTGGGCATGTCTGGACTACATACATGTTGATCGTACTCGTGCGCGCCTTGCGCATGCGCATGTGCATGATGCATGTGTATCATAATACAATGAAGCATATCCAACCTAATCTGTTTAATCACTGCTGTTTGTCGAACGTGCTTCATTCTCAGGCTGGTCAGGGGCCGTAGGTTAGTCCTAGGGTTGCGGTTCATTCTTTAGCCATCTACTTTGCTTGTCTGGTGTCACCGAGGGCATGGAATTATTCAATACCCGCATGGGCAGTGGAAGTGATTCGCGTTGCGACTTTTGGGAGACGTATTCCCCACTGATGAATTACTAGTATATGACCATGTACGCGAGATCCCTTAAACGGTATCGCAAACAGAAGAAGATGACATCTCAACACCCGCGCACACAGAGAACCAGAATGGTACCAGTTGATGAAAGCGAGCCCAATTTTGGGGGGCTACGGGCTCTATCTTGTCGCAAACAATGATACTATGAGAGCATACACGCCAAATATGGGCCATCGTTGAAGATGGAGTAGCACGATAGCCCACCCAGTCAGAAAACCCCAACCCAAGCCAACCCCTGGAAAAGGAGAAAGGACATAAGACGCTCTATATCAAGACAATACAATGAGACATCACACGCACACACAAACACACACTCTCTCTCTGTCTCTCTGACAAATAACCAGATCTAACCTCCATTAGACAGCCCTCCTTAGGGCCGCCGGTAAGCCGTTCATCACCCGATGGCCTTCCTCTCTCACTCCCAAGGCTTCTTCGTTCTTGCCTTGCCGCTCCAGCGTCTCCGCGAGCATTTCGTCGGTGACGCTGACCCAAAGGCGGTCGTTGGCCTTTCGGGCCATGGCGCGACCGGCCCGGGCGCTCTTCTCGGCCTGCTCGCCGACGACGCCGCGGAAGTATTTCCAGCTCATGAAAGTGAGGGTCATGCAGGTAATCTGGCTGTTGCTGATGGCTGTGGCCGATTGTAGGGCTTGTTGAAGGTGTTGTTTGGTTTGGATGGTTGATTCGGTCTGCACGGTAGCGCAGACGAGGTAATAGGCGGCTTGGATGTATTTACTGGGGCTAGATGTACAAAAAGGTTCGACGGTGGCTAGGATGGCGGGGAGTTGGTGATGGGACGGGTGAGATGGTTCGCTGAGAATGAGGACGGTGTTTAGCGCGGATAGTATCGCAAGGTCCCGGCGGGGGTCGTTGCGCGCGCCTTTGCTGGTGGTGGCGGGCGAGGAGTGCAGAGAGAGGGTTGTGGACTGGAACGCCTGGAGGGCTGCATCCAGATCGCCTGTCGCTTGGGCGATGGCGCCGCTCGCGTAGTCCATCATGCATTTGATGGTCTCTGGAAGCTGGCCACCGAGACCTAGGGCTTCTTGTCGCAATTTGTGTAACGTTTTCGTGGCCAGATCCCAGTCGGTGCGACCGCAGGCGAGAAAGACTTGTTGAACGAGGAGACTGCAGTAGAGGGTTCGGCGCCATTCGACGCGTCTGTTTGCATTTACCACAGACTCAGTAATTTCTTGTGGCGCTTTGAAACTTCCTGCAGGCAGCCGGGTCAGTGTGAGGTCAAGAGAAAGAAAGAGAACCACAAATCGCAGCCGACTAACCTTTTACCATGCGTATGCCCTCTTGGAGGAACTTCTCCGCTTTGCGTCCGTCATAGGAGTTTTTGCAGCTGAGAGTGATGGAGCTGAGGAAATAGCAAAGTGCATACAGGTCGTGTTGCGGGAGCCAATTGAAGCTCAACAATAGGGTGCCGCTCTGTACCTGGAGAATATCCCCGGTGTCAATGGAAGAAGGACCAGCCGACTTGCCACTCAGAGGGATGGAAAAGGACCCGTCATCGCGCCAGTTTGAGTCATTTAATCGCTCATCCATCATGTCTTGCATGACTTTCAGCTTCTGAGACGATTGGTTGACGTCGTAGTCCAAAAGACTACAGCATATGTCGACAATTTGGACCAGCGTCGTCAGCTGCGGAATGTGACGAAGATCATCGTTCAACTGATGGCTTCGTGCTGCCGCTACTGCGCGTTGAGCCTGCTCGATCGCGTCGGACCCGGTGCCTTGCTGCAAATGTGCGAGGGCTTCTATTATAGCAGACATAGCTGAAACGGCCTTGTCACCATTGCGATGGGCCATGCTGGCTATTTTATGGAGGTGTTGTAGTGCTGAGACAGAATCTTGATGGGCGTGAGAAGAGAGTGAGAGCGATGCGCGAAGGAAGCGAAAGGCATATTCCCAGGCCGAATGGCGATAACTGCTGATGTTAGTAAGAATCTCCAACGTTCGCGATTTGAGGAACTCACGCTTCCACATCTTGTATCATGCCATCGACGGCTTTCATCGAGGCCTTCGGGTTCGTCTTGTGTAGCATCCGAGCCAAGAGATGCTGCATACTATACTTCAGATCTAGCATGCGGTTCTAGTCCGGTGTAAGCTTGAATCATTCATCATCTGCTCGGATTTACCTACGCGCTCACACAAATCAATCTGGAACAGACCTTAGCCATGGCACTCGAGAAGTGGGGACAGAGAATGAATACATACGCCTTTGCTCAAAGCTGTCTCAGCCTCGAGATCATTGTCTGTTTCCTCGAACAGAATCCGCGCATAGCGCAACCGCACAAGAGCCTCAACTCGAGGTTGAAGTCTCCAGTTCTAAATTAGGTTAACGACCATAGAGAACAAGTCTGACTCAAGCTATCTCTCATACCTTTAGTACCGCCTCTAAGCATCCGAGACCTGTTGCCACCAGTTTATAGTACTCTTCCATGTCCATCTCCCGTCTTAGCAAGGCCACCATGGTCCCATGGCTGTGCGCCGCGTCGAGATACTCATCCGCCATAGCCAACAGCAACAGCTGGTAGTCGGGGGTCTTGGCCGATTTCTGTGTGGAGGATTTCATCGGCTGCTGCTGTGTTTGTTTGGGGGTGGGATTTTTGGAGGACTGTCGCTGCAGCTTCTGCTGCACATCTGGTGAAGGTGCGGGAATGAGCACCTGGATGGGCTTTGGGGATGGAGCCGATGGGATTGCAGACACGGACTTAGTCGCAGCCACTTTAGCAGCGATGGGGGTAGCAGCAACGGGCGCGGCGATCACAGGTGATGCTGGAACAGGTGGTGCTGACACGGGTGGTGCTGACACGGATGGTGCTGAGACCGCTGGTGGATTCGACGTAGCTTGGGCATTCTTGTTGTAGGAGGCCTGATTCCCTGGGTCAGGGCTTGGATCGGCATAGTAGGCAGGCTGAGCAGGGGTCGATGTGGAAAGTATAGGGGAATGTATGCTGTCAGTGGCAGTGACTGCAGGTGTCGCGTTGTACTGGGACGAAGTGTGTGAGAATCGAGGAGGTGAGGTAGCCGGAAGAGGGGGCGGTTGGAACAGCTCGGAGGGATTCACATATTGTGGTTGCTGCTGCTGTTGGGGAGGTTGCTGCTGCTGTGACTGTTGCTGTGGTTGTTGTTGTTGTTGCTGCTGTGGTTGCTGCGGAACGTAGGGTTGGGTGTAGGTAGGATAGGTCGGGATCATGACCTGAGGGTAGACAATCTGTTTGCCATATTGATATGGCGATGCAGTCGTGTTGACATTGTTATCGTAAAGGAGCTGCTGCGGGTGGATGGTCTGCTGGTGGTGGAGCGGGAGATTGGGGGGGTGTTGCATGTATTGCGAAGGATATTGGCCGTTGTGGGGTGGTGGGTAGCTCATCGCCCCAGGACGCAGAAGATGCTCATTTATCCACTGCGCTCTGCTAATCCCGATTGTAAGTAAGCTGTGCTGAGGGAGACTGGAAGGTTGGGGATTCTTTTTGCGCGGTCACTGCTTCCAAGCGGTCCTGGTCTTCTTGAACGATCGCGCGGCCATGTCCGGTTCCGCGTCGGGTTCGGAGAAACCTCCCCACGCGGTCCGATCAGTCAGTCAGGCTGGTCAGGTGAGGAAGGGATGCCTTGACCCCTTGGGAATTTAGTCCCAGTATTCCTAGAATTACTAAACAGATGTACTAAGTTCATCAATACTGACAATTCATCATCTTCAGCTGTTTACATGAACATATAACTGCGGACAAAAATTTTGCATAGAGCCCAAAGGAAGATATATAGTAAGTATAGCAGCCCCTACTCCTCTTACCCAAGCCCAACTCACGCAACCCTTGGAAAATAAAAAAAAAATAAAAAAAAATAAAAAAATCACAACACCACACAGGATTGACTGTGGACATAATCAAATATACCCCGAACCACGCCCAGCGCCATTCATTCTAGGGAGCGCATTCGCCAATTTGCTATATCATGTTGATTGAAGAGTATAATTGGTTGAGCGACTGGTCTTGCATCGCAGGCTCAAGTATGTTCATCCCCAAAGTCGGGGCTTCTTCCAGAGGAGGATGTTCTCGAATAGTCCAAGGACACATCTCACTGCAATTGGTAGCATCAAATAGATTCTCCGCGGGGTGTATCCGCTGAGAAGCCCATGCCTGATCGGGAACCGAGCTTGTGCCTCCAAGGCACCTTTCGGTCCAGAAATGGTAGGTGGCTTTGTCCATCACCTCATCTATCCGACAGGGCTGTTTGCGAGGACACCTCAAAGAGGCGTTGCATGTGTTGCAGACTGATATCCGCTTGCACGAGGCACAGTGGCTGTCATAGAGACGACAGATGGTGGTCTGACAGACACTGGATAACCACAAGTCGACTGATCGGTGAGCACATCCAAAGCGAGGTGTGATGTGTTCTTCTCTGCCAAGCTGGCCAGTCCCTGTTGTCATATGATACTCTGTGTGTATCCTCAACAAGTCGTCTTGGTCCAGCTCAGGATAGATCGCAATCTCAAGCTGCGTGGATCCATAGTATTCCTTGCAGGAGTGCCAGCAAAAGCGCTGCTGCTGAATGCCGCTCCCAAACTGCAGGGTAAGGGCGTCCACTGATCTCTGTCGGGTCTTCAGAAGCTGTACGAGATCCGTCTTGTCCTGGAAGGTGAGCTTCTTGCATGGGCATAGATCCACGATGCCCGCAGAGTTACCCAAGTTGCATGCTCGCTCATCGGACTTCCGTCTCAGCTCGCGAGGAGGGAACGAGTTCCGTAGATGTAGTTTTAAACATTTCGAGCAGGCCCGCCAGCGGCCGTCTTCCAGCAGATTGATGAATTGCCACCGCGGGGTGACGAAATTGTGGCCATTCCGGTAGTGGTGAAAAAGTGGTGCGAAGTCGCGATTGAAGTGGAGAGCTTTGGCTCCCAGGATCGCCCCGGATATTGAGTAGAGTCGCTTGCATGTCAGCGCTAGGCAAGCCTCGGGTATTACCGATAGATGGGAAATGATCGCCAATAGTAGTTCGGTTGGCAGTTCGAGAAGGAAGCATCGCCCGCTAAAATCGAAATCCCTACCCTTTCCTGCGGTTTGACTCCGCGTCCACCGATTCATTTTGGCGATGATCTTCACTTTTTCGGCAGCGCGACGTAAGCTATATGCCATATCGAGCGGGACACTGGGCCCTAAATCATGGATTGCCGCGGCCAAGAATGATTTGTTGAATGGTTCCCAGCTGAGGCGCTTATTTCTTCTGGTTTGATTCTCTGTCGAAATCCTACAAAAGCTCATCGGTGAAGAAAAAGCGAGCCTGTTTTCTGCTGGCTCACGGGCATCATGATGTACTAGAAGTAAAAGATATGGTATCAAGCGGACCACATGACGAAAGGAATCAAAACCAGAGAAGAGACACAAGAAGGAGGGCCTCTTGACCTTGAAGTAGCTCACACGCAAGGCTGTCGATTCGCACGCAAACGGAGCACGCGCCAGGGTCACAGTGGAAGAAGTAATCAAGCTTCCATGCGACAAGATCCTGTGTCGGCGCAGGGAGAAGAGGGCAGCTCTACCCAAGGCCGCATCGAACCAGAGGCGTGTTCCGAATCCAAATCATGGTAAATTTCTGAGTGGAAAGCCACCCAACTGCGACCAGGCGCGGAGAGTCTATGATGCTATTCCACCGAACTCTATACTAAACTTCCGCATCCGGGGCTGGCTTACCGGATCGAGAAGCTTAAAAGTGCCGAACCGCCTGCAACCCTTACCCTGCCCTGTGAGAATGCTGCTGTATCTCTGAAAATAGGAGAAGCAGAACAGCAACTCAGTGTAGCACAGCCCACAGGGAATGGGGGAATGACAGAAAAGCAGTGATAAGCAATGCGACTGAGGGGCGCTTGTCCAAATGACGTCTTCCTGCATTTCCTCATGATCTCCACTAAAAGTGACTAACTATAGCGGGTTAGACACACTGAGTCAGCAATCGAGCTGACTGATCGGCACGATAAGGCCACTGATAAGATGATTGATTAGTGATGTTGCCCCTTTTGGCAATCAAGCCGAGGCTCTTGAAGAAAAAGAAGAAGAAGAAATTCATGTGAGGTGACGACAGCCCGGAATGCAAAGTCTACTTCCTCACTTGGAGAAGTCTCTGTTATTTACTTATCAATTGGACAGGATTTGCAAGTTCGTCTCTTGTTATTGAAATTCTAGAACCAGTGTTTAGAGCGATCTTTCAGGCTTGGGTAAACGAACAACTTCCCCTCCCCCTTGGTTTACAGTTTACATTTCGCATGTTTCGCCGCTGCCTCGGAGTCTAGCCCCTTCTACCGTCATGTCGCCTGTTGACATCTCTCCCATTAGCGTCCTGAGCACATCATCTATCCCTCTTCTTTTCTCGGGTCTGCTAGCCATGGCCTTATTTTCCTGGGCTCGCCCACGTGGTCGGGTCTCCTTCTACAGCGCCAAAGACAATAACCTCATCTTGACCCGGAAGAATGACAAGTCTGGTGCCAAGGAACAGGTAGCGCTGGCAGATCTCTGTCGCACAGCCACACCAGCAACCTGTGATCTCAATCCATTCCTCTTCAATGGTCACCTTCAGACCGCTTGGACTGCAGTCAAGTATGATAGCGTTCCGGTTTACTACAAGAGATGGATGTTCGAGGCGGACAACCAGATGTTCGATGGGCACTTTGCCGTGGATTTCGTCGTAGATCCCTACGAGCCGTCCAAGAATGACCAGACCTCTGACCCAGAGAGAAAGTATACTCTGCCTGAGGGACTACCGGAGAGGACCTCATTCTTTACCGAAGACGAATTCACGGCGCTTCCATCGGACGATACCAAGCCTATGCTGGTTGTTCTGCACGGCCTGAGCGGCGGATCACATGAGGTATACCTGCGCCATGTGGTTGCGCCTCTGATCCAGGATAAATCGTGGGAAGCGTGCGTTATCAATTCCCGGGGCTGTTCGCAAACCAAGATCACCACCAATATACTCTACAATGCCCGCGCCACGTGGGATGTCCGTCAGGCTGTCAAATGGCTACGGAAGACGTTCCCGAATCGGCCCCTTTTCGGAATCGGCTTCTCCTTGGGCGCAAACATCCTCACCAACGTGAGTTCTGAGCACGTGCTTTATCTGGAACCGGCGACTAATGCATCGGTTATAGTACCTGGGCGAAGAGGGAGATGCCTGCCAGTTGAAAGCAGCGGTGCTTTGTGCTAGCCCCTGGAATTTGGAGGTCAGCTCGGAGTACTTGAAGAGCAGCTGGTTGGGACTTCAGGTATACAGCAAGGTGATGGGATCGAGCATGAAGAAGCTTTTCGAACAGTATGTGATAAGACCTCAGCTCGCCTGTCAGCTATCATAATAATTAACGATGCCAGGCATGTGGAGTCGGTCGCCTTAAATCCACTGGTCAACGTCGAAGAAATCAGGAACGTCACTTATTTGCACGAATTCGACCGGTAATGGACTGTCCTGGGCAGACTTGCATTTCAACTGCTGACTCCATTACTTTTAGAGCGCTGCAATGCCCTGCATGGGGTTACCCAACGGAAGGTGCTTACTATCGTGATGCCTCTTCCATCGACTCTATGCTTGGAATCAAGATTCCTTTCTTCGTAATCCAGGCCGAAGATGACCCGGTAAGCAGCAGCACCCTTAACTTTCGAACCGCTTTCATGTGCTGAGCCGAGTAGATTGCTTGCGCAAAGGCTCTGCCATATGGAGAAATCGCCAGAACCCCGTATGGTGTCATGGCGACCACCTCCTGGGGAGGCCATCTCGGCTGGTTTGAGTTTGGTGGTGACAGGTGGTTTGTCAAACCGGTACGTTGTTCGCCTTGACTTTTGTGACTTTTGGTGTTCCGGCCTATTGACTATTGAAGGTCTCCAATTTCCTTAACCTCATGGCCAAGGAAGTGGATCACACTATTCCAGGCAAGGTTGAGCACCCCGATCGCCTCCCGCCTTACATTGCGCGACCTGCGCAAGACAGCGATAAGACGCCTAAGCCGCTTTTCGGCCCTGTGCGGCGCAAGCTGGATATCAAGATCGTACCCTCTTCATCCTAGAGACGCATCATGTGCGAGTACTCCTAGCGGATCTGGAGGGTCGCATACTTCAGAAGTTGGGGGATTGTTCATCATGAATGCATGCAATTGTTTTGGCAGGATATAGACCGTTGAAACGCCAGAGACCCATCTAGATACATAGACCTGATATAGACAGCATTACTTTTATACAAAATGAAACAAAATCAAGCAAATGAGACGCTCTTTCTCTTGCCCTTCGATTTGGACGACTTGTCGGGTACGGAGTCCGCTTTGTTGGCCTTAGGGCCGCCCTTGTGCTTCTTATTGCGAATCGATTGTTTTACCTCTTCCTGTTCCCCGCATCCTTTGTCAGTAACTTCCAAACACAAACACACATTTGAATGATTTGCAAGATACGTACCAGCTTGTTCTTTTTCTCCGCGTGCCTGGCCTCAGCCTCCTTCCTCTTCGCCTCACGGATCTCCTCCAATTGACGGGCCTTCATTAGCTTCGACTCGATCTGACCCTCCCTGTCGGCATTAACCATGGCAAGAATCGTCATCATTCCCTCCTGTAAGAAGCGACCAAAGATCAGCAAAAAAGTCCAGTCAACAGTCCCCACGATCGCAGATCTCCATATGTGGTGAGGAATCACATACCGCATCGTCCACGAAAGTTTTGCCCTTCTTCTTGCCCTTGGGCTTCACCACACCCACGGGCGTGATCATGTTCAACTGAGGCAGGTCCAATTCCTTCTCGGTGTATTCCCTCTTCTTCGTCTTCTTCAGCAGGCTGGATTCCGTGCGCGCTTTCGACTTGACTTCCTTGGGCGGCGGGCGCTTGACGTTCTTCTTGCTCACTTTCGTCGCGGACGAGAGAGGCTTGCTCTTGGCGTCTCCCTTGGACGACGAAGGGCCCTTGCCCTTGGCCGAGGACTTTGTCGGGGCCATCTTGTGGTCTTGTTCTTGTTTTTGGAGGAAGAAAAAAAGGATAAGAACACCGGGGAGTTGATGCGGCTGGGAATGCTGGAGAGTTGAAAATTCGAAAAAAAAAAAGCGGGCGATGAGAACTTCTATGTCCACAAAGACAATAGAGCCACAAATTCCTCGGGATCACCTGCGTATATCTCCTTGACACAGAAACAAATGATCCGAATTTGCAGAAAATCAACACAGTCCAAATGAATGAAGATCATAAAACAACACCCTCTGTCCCCCAAGCTTTGCGCCCCCGAAAAAAGAATAATTTTTGAAAGAGGCAGGCGGTGAGGTGGGGGGAATGGCGGCAGCCTCCAGACCAGACCCCCATTCGATCTCCTCCCAATCCCGTCAACGCTAAACTCCCAAGGCGTCCGTCCCGAGCAGAACAGAGAAACTTACCCACTCTTCTCTATCTCTTCGCCAAACCTCGGAGTCCAAGGCTGTGCCCATCAATTGCCTCAATTCCCAATTGTCAAGATGACCATCAACCCCACATTCCTCGCCCAGCGCACTCGCTCCTGTACGTGAACGTCCCAATCCCTCACAACCATCCTTCCACCTCCCCCCCTCCGATCCACCGGTGGTCCGGCGCCCTTAGAAATTGGCGCGACGTCAATGGCCGGAACTCACAGGCTGACCTTGAAAAACCCGTGTATAGCTGCCAACCTGGCCGAGGCGAAGCGTCGTGTCATCCGGTCCTACAGAGAATGGCTTAGAGCGGTTAGTCTTCGACACTCTTGGAATATTTGATGCATTTCGGAAATGCTGGTTTTTTGTTGTCGTCGTCTCTTGTCACCTTTGGTTGGCGGGAGGGAGCTCTTTCGCCAGGGCGCGCAGAAGAGCCCGTGGGGACCGCGAGACGAGAAACTTCACCTCGAAAAGATACCCGAGAGAGACCCCCCGAGCTGACTATTGACATGTTGCGATGGCTTCGATTAGTCCCCCGAGATCCAGACTATGTACTCCCTGGACATGCCCGTTTCCGCCATCCGGACGAAGATTCGCCAGGAATTCGAGAAGCACCGTTACGTCAGCCAATTGAATGTGATTGACGTGCTGTTGTACCAGAGCCACGCCGAGTTTCAGGTGAGTTTGGACTTTTGTTGTTGTCTTCTCTATGTGGTCAATGCGATAGGATATGTGGGTTGGGGATGTTCGGGGTTTATGCGGCATGTTGAATCTGGATCGGAGAGCTTGAATGGCTCATCGATTCCATGCAATATAACACCCCCCGAAACCTCCACGACTTCCAGCACGTCGCACCACACATACCAATAACCAGACCAACTAATCTTGGTCTTCATCATACAGGAAACCCTCAACTACTGGAAGCAGCTGTCGCACGTGATGAAGTACTTCCGGCCGGAGGAGGAGCCCGGTGCTCGCCTCCCCCCCAACTTTATCTCCGGCTTCTTGGAAGGCCGCAATTAATCTCATGTTTCCCATTTCCTTCAAATCATCCTGCAGCATTGAAAGTTTTTTTATTCCTTCTAGTTATGAGAACAACCCTGGGCTTAGACCCGTGAACTGATAGATCCGGGTAGAGGGTATGAGTGTGCGCTCGCGCTCTATGTAAATATGGTGTTGTTGTTAGATTAAGCAATGGACTCGTGTATCACGAGGTGTAGGGTCGTTCTGTGTGTGGCTTGTCCAGGTTTAGCAGTGGAGGTACTCTTCACATGACGTAAAGATCCATTAAGGTTAGGGGGTAGTAGTATGGCTCTACCATGCATGCCATGTTACTTACTACCACATATTTGACTCCGAATCGGTCAACTTCTACAAGTGCAAGCGTGGGAGAGAAGAGGCATATCAAGAAGATTAGCCAAGAAGCAAGATACCATCTGCGCCATGCATTACCACATCTAGTCCAGCCCAGACACCGCATGACCAGAATCGACAGGAAGCTCAATCCGCATTGGTTAATCTATACTATACGCAGACACTTAACCTCAAGTACCCCCGAGCCCACTCATAGTAAAAATAGGTACTATCTCCCTCCCAACCGAGAAAACACACCGCTCAATGCACACACACACCCACACACAGAGGAAAAAGCTCAATCATGTAGAAAATGTTGGGGTCATTATGACAACCGAAATCGTGAAAACTTTTCTCTAAATACAACGCCAAGATGAAAGACCAACTCATCCCAAAAGATTTACAGGGAAAACAACAAAAAGGACGGATCTACGACTCCATCCGATCGACCTTGGACGCATTGAACTCATCGCGCGCAACGGTGAACTTGTCCGTGACGACATCGCACAGGTCCATCAGGGTATCCAGACCCTTCTCCAGGGCTTCGACGGCCGTTGTCGTATCTGGATCATCCGTTAGTTCTTTTACAGTTGCTGTATATAACCGGTTTGTCCCGATCCCTTGGGTGGGCGAGATATAAGCCGCGGGGGAGAGAATGCGTACCATAAGTCTGGATTCTCAGGTTCATCTTCGTCTCTGAAGGGTGGGGGATGGTATAACCGCAGAATTCAACTTGGGGGCTGTTTCACATGTTAGCCGAACTCCATCCATGTTACACTTCCTTCAGTCCCTAGTGGGATCCGAGGGCCCAGGGAAGATATCCAGGGACGGATCCAGGATTGGATGGGCGGTTGGGGTTATCCCCACTTCTTCATGATCGCGTATCGTAGCGCATTACCCAGGGTGTGTCCCTCTCCATCGAACTGGAATGATGCGGCGGTTTCGGTGGCTCCGGGTAACTTCACAGGAAGAGTTAGATATATTGGGTTGTATGGCACCAGCGGCTGGAGAGAAAGGGTGGAGGTGGGACGTACGACGACAATGCGCTTATCTTCCAACTCGAGGACGTCTTCCTGCTCGTGCTGTTGCTCCAAGGCGGCGTCCATCATGGACTGGTCGTTTTCTTGGTCGACGGAGCCGGGCATTTTAAATTTCGAGGGTGGGGATGGGATTGAGACCGGTAGACGTTTGAGTGAAGCTCGAGAGTGTATTACTAGAGGGATGGTTAGATATCAAGTCGTTGGCAGGAATGGGAGGTTGTTCTGGGTTGCGCTGGTTTAAAGGGCTGAGTTTATAGACATACCTCTCTCTCTTTCTGGTAGAGGTGAAGCGGGGTATAATGAGTGGGTTGTGCGCGTGGGGAGTGGGAGGTTGCACCAGACGTCAAGTACTATCACACAGGAAGCCCTAGTAGCGAGAAGAAGTAGTCAGGACCAACGGTCGCAAGGAATCACAAAAATGTTAGGGAGGATTTGCTATTGCGATGGCTATTGTTGCGGCGGAGAGAAAAATGCAAAAAATCGGTTTTATCGATGGTTGACCGCCTTGGGATGGGAGACATGCTACATCACCGCCTTCCGTGTTGGTACAGCTTATTCTCGTTCTAGGTGAGATAGCTATGCTACCGCATTGAAGTATTCTATGTTCTATGGGAACTGGCTAGGATGCTTGTAGTTAATGGCAATGAAGCTTTGTCAGAACGTTCTTTGGTGGTGAGTTCCGAGACTTTACTTTCTCCTCCACGATCGATTGCCATGTCCTCTGCAGGAGACGTGAATTGAGGAGTATGTAAATGAATCATTGACTGACGATGATGAACTCCATTATTAAGCCTGCTCTGGATAGCACGCTTTTGTGGGTGTGGCATACTTTACTACTTCTAGAATGCAGCTCTTGCCTGTCATTGGCACATCGAGAAAGACTATGCGATAGCATACTATCCCAAGTTGAATAGGTTTAACTGGCTCTTCAATATAGCAGCGAGATGCAGCTATCTGGTGCGTAGAACATCAATTGACACAGTGACTTCGAGCCTAGAAGCGACTTGTAATGACAGTCAGAATGCCCTTGCCAAGTAAACACTAGCTATAATACAGAGCAAGTATAGTTGGTCAATTATGTGAACCTGACTGTTTAACTTTGAATGATACTATTCTTGACAGCTTCTTATTGGGATCAGCCAGGAACCATATCGCTTGAGTCAGACCACCCTGCCCACTGTCCACATGGGAGGATTAATATTAGCAACAGGACCGTGCAGACGGGCGACGTTGGGACTAGAATCTGCGCGGCGCAAATGAGAACGAAGAGTCTCGTGTTTGTAATATCAATCGGTAGTACAAGAATGGAGAGACCAAGTGATGCGATATAGGAACTCTACTTGTTGCCATGCTCACGTAGCAATTGGTAAGGTAACGGGGTTTATCGTATATGTGCATGGAAATGACGCACACTTACCCAAAATCACGGCACCAATGCAAGATAACCGGTTCTGGTATTGCTTGGCGACGGTTTCAGTTCTCGAGCATGCTTAGAACCTGTACTGTACGGAGGTCTACCCGTGCTTCGGCGATGAGAAAAGTATCACTTCTCGACAGTATATAAAATTGAAACAGTACTCCGTAGTCGATTTTGCATGTTGTTGCCCAGACCGACCTGGATAATGAACTTCTGACGTCTAAACGAACCAACAGCCGACGGAGAGTAGAATGAATTGGTTGGCCACGAGCAGTGTGTGTCTCATGCGCGAGCCGACGACTGTATTCAAACTTCAATCGGCCCCTCATTCTCCAAGCAAAATGAAACAAGCATCATTCCGAAGACGAGGATGTCCCACGGCACGCCAAAGCTACTATCGATAAGTTAGCGAGTTTCCTTTCCCTGAGACGGGAGAGGATTGGAGGGGGGATTCGACAGTCGACTCGACCCATTCTCCTGATTTGCAAGGTGGACAAGACACGTGGGACCTGCCCCATACTAATTTGTAATTTGACGGTGTGATCCGCAGATACTCCATCGAGTCCATCCAGGCTTTGGATGATGCTGAACATTGATGGCCCTTGATACTCAGTAATATCGTACAGTAGCTCGATGTCACTCGATGATTGGCTATCATACTTGAAGTTAGTAAAACGACATTCATCGCAGTTCCAAACGATATTCACCCTCATACTTACTACGAACTAGGTACGGATGACCAATTTGTCAGTTTGTCCCGGAAGCTGAGAGAAAAGTGGTCCCATCATTTCACTCCTCTCTCCCTCTCCGTGCATCGCGGAAATGAGGGGTGGAGCAATAATCAATATGTGCTACACTATTTCTCGTGAGAATCAATCGATACGCTCCGACGGATAGTTTCAGGCAGCATCAGTTGCACCATTGCCGCGGAACAAAACCAAAAAAAACACAATGATTCTGTAGCATCATCAGATCAGTAGTAGAGTGAAGGGGAGGAAAATTGGCTCGGTTCCATGCAAATCCTCATCCTCTTGTCTCGACTCAGCATCTGCTTGGGGAAAGGGTCCATTCTATGTATCTTGCTCGTTCTCTTCCGTACTCCGTAGTTCTATTTGTTGTTATCATCCACCGTGGATGACTGCGCCCCCTCGGGTAGGTTCATGTATGTACAACAACCCCCGAAATCGTCCCGGGTTTAACTTAGTGGTGTTTGTCCCCCCTCCCTCCAAGCCCAAGCCCAATTGCAACGGTAACAGGGATTGATTGATCCATTGCAGTAGTTCTTATAGTTCGCTGCATGTCTAGCATTGGTGCATGATCCCACCAGTAGGCAGGAAACTTTCTCCCACCGAAGTCGACCCATTAATCCCTTCATGATTAGCATGGTACGGAGTAAACAGCAGATCATCGCTAATCAAGAACAATCTTGGAATACTAGATCAATGGTGTTGTCTGGCTCTGGACTCATTTGGGATCCTATACCAATTTCGCTTCGCACTAGATCCTAAAGAGGAGATCATATCGCGTAGTCTCGATACACTGAACCACTCCAATGAGTCAATTGATTAATTTAAAATTTGATTGCCGCGTTCCTAAGACCTGCGCTATCTGAGCGCGACAGTACCGTAGTTTCCTATCGCAGGAAGCGAGCTAATCGCAGTGACAGGCTTGAAGCTGGTCCGTGTCTTCAGCCATTTCCAAATTGGGTCATATGCTTGGTAAGAATCTCTAACAGTGAGTTAAACAGTGCCCACGAGCTGTACTCCGTACATACTGCACTCGGAGCGGAATATAACAGACTCGTGTGAGATCGCCGGTCGACCCGAGGGGTTGACAGGCTCGTTCTAGACAAAGATTGTTGCGGTTGGGAACAAGGGCTTAATCCTCTCATAGACTAGATGATCCCCTGCATGCAATACTCGGCATCTCACCCTCCCTGTTCTGGATTCATCTTAATTCTACAATTGTTTTCAGTTATAGAGGTTTCATGAGACTGCTATCGGCCAAAACATGGGTGGGTACTCCGTATGCCTAGACAGTACGTAAAGCAAAGCACACATAAAGTCTGGATCAGACTCTTTCTCTACGCAATGACACGCATCTTTCTACGTATTATTTGTATCTTGTCCAGATGGTCATCCAGTTGTGGTCGAGTGACACTTTGATCCGCTTCGAATTAAGACAAGGACAAGAGCCGATCGCGGGATGACGATCGATGCACCGTGGGAAAAAAAAAAGGGCTGGCGTTCATGAAAAACCCCTGGGCAGCTTTTTCTGGCTTATTGTTTGTGCAGTTTCGTAGGGTCAAGAGGAAGCGAACGTGGGGAAATGTGAGATATCAAGTTCGGATAAATTTCCTGGCTTGAATAGAACCCCATTATTGTCCATTCTGCTGCTGCTGCTGCGCTGCTGCTGCCACCATCCAAATTTGAAAATCAGAGGAGAGGAGGCTGAGGGGGGGCCATGACCCATCCATCTGACAGAAAGTGGGCTCGGTTGGGGCCAGGGCCAGGGGACACTAACTCACTATTGTTTCCACCAGTTTGGCGCCAGTAGGTTTTGGTGATGGTGAGGGAGGCTGGCGTCGCAAGTGGTCTGGGTTTGCCACCCAGGGGGTGGAGAGGGTGGAGGACGGAGGTGGGAGGGAGGGAATTCCAACTGGGTCATGGTTCGTGGCCGTGATGAAGCTCGGATGCTCGTTCCGTTTGACTATTTCCAGACTTTCAAGTCTGTTTTGCGGTTTGCGTTTTGCGCGGTAGCCAGGACAAAGAACTCAGATAGTACCTACTGTACTTTTGTGACTGTGTATGACACTCGTTAGACAAGTCCAGGTATGATCAATGCTCTGGAGAATAAGCAGCAGTCTCAGCTGTTCTTTATTGTACTGTACGTAGTTCCCAGCTTATCTAGTCGGAAGCCGGATGGGAGGGGGGGATCGCACTGGGCTGGTTAACTAGTTGGGGTTGGTTGGTTAGTCTACTACCTAACTACTAGTTAAGTTAGTCCGCGGGGTTAGTCAGCGTTTCGCTGATAACTAACATAGTCACCTAGTTACTCAGTACTTAGCTATGCTGTATGTGCTGTACCTGGCCATCATTCATTCATTTGATTCTACGTGTCTTCATCATGGATATCCTCAGTCAGTACTTACTACAGCATAGTACTGTCTCCAACTACCTTATATATAACCAACCTAGCATAAGTATGGTACATCCAGATGAGTACAAGGCCCCGAGGGGTGTGATTACTGCCAATTGTCACAAGTGTGTCACATCTTCGGCGACAAGCCCTGGGCGGAAACAAACCATGTCTCAGCTGGTGCCAATCAGATGAAATCCTCTCCACTTGGTCTGAGCATCCAGGAGGGATTATTAGGAATTATCCCCGTTCATCAATGGCTACTTGCCTTCACTACTTACCATTTTGGATGCCTCCCAGCCGGTTTTTCCTGTGCTTTGTTTCTCCTTCCTCTGCCCCCCTCACTCTTTGCTGTTGACAGTCCATACAAAGTAATGAGATAGATAGATTGATACATACGTAGTGTAGGACCCGATCATTCTCATGCTGAAGAGCTTTACATGTACGGAGTACCCGCTATGTTGTCTCTTCCTGTTCTGTATGCAACCGATCTTCGACCCACGCCTGAATCCGATTCTACTTCCCCTACATCCATTCGAGTGCCTCGTCGCTCCAATTTCAGCCCAATTCCCACTCCCTCGTTTGATGATACTGATGATGATTGAGATTATTCCCTTTATACTCTAGCCTATCTTTGACTTTTTTTTTTCTTCTTTTTTTTTAATTCCTTTTACTATTTTTCCTTTGCTTTTTGACCCTTCGTCAGATTCATGTAGGAATTTTTGTTGAATTTAATCCATATTTCTTCTTTAGATTGGACCCAGCTGCAAGCTCTGATTGATGAGGACGGGGTGGTGAATTGTACCTTTTTGAGTACCGTAATGTAGTTCTTTATGCCACCGTCTCATCGAGATTGACTCGGCCCTGTTTTTTTTTCTCCCCTCCACT